CAGAGAACCCCAAGGACTCCACAGTTCAACCCTGAGCTACACATATTCGCCTCTATTGGTTTTCATCGTTGCCTTACCAAGTGCTAGTCTGTGGTATATTTTTTTATTGCTGGCTCCTTTACTCTTGATAGTCAATCCTAAAAGGTAAAAGTTGTCCATCATCTTCACTGTCAGTTCTAAGGTAGGTTGCTGTACCTGTGCCTGCTTTATATTTAATGACCCATTTTTTCACTATGTTCCTATGTTACTAAAGCTTGCTGTTAGTTTGTATTTTCAGCAAAGTCTCAGCAAAGCTCAAGTAATTGATGTTTCTTCTGCCAATTTTAAAATCACACTCATCTTCCAATCTGGCCTCCCTCAATATATATTCAGCAGATAGGCTGACTCCATAAGGAGAGAATATATAATCTTGTCTCACTTCTTTGCCGATCTGGAGCCAGTCTGTTTTGCCATGTTCCATGCAGACTGTGGTTTCTATCCTGTGTCTAGATTTCATATTACGACAATTAGATGTTTTGGGATTCCCATTTTATGAAGCACATTCCTCAGCTTGACATGGTTGACATAATCATAAGCTTTTCTATAATTCTATTTGAACAGTGTACTGGTAATCCTGAAGCTTCCACTCAAAAGATACTTACATATTTATTTATATCATATGCACATTTCAGTTTTCTCAGAAAAAGGAATTTATTCTAACTTGTATCAGAAATAAACATTTAGGTTGTTGTCCTTTTGATGAATAATATGGAATAATCCTCTGTATCCAGAAATATTTCTTTTAAGTAAATTGATATTACTATTTTTATAAAGCACTTTGTATTATAAAATATTACATCTGATCCTAGACTACCCTTTCTTGTTACTGGTATTTATAAAATATATATTTGATTGTCATTAGTGAATATGTTTTATTAAATGCTGTTGGAGCTCTTGAAGATCTATATCAATGTAGGGAGATAGAGAATCACCCTGATCTATTAGATCATCCCAGGAGAAACTACTCTTAGGTCCTCACTTTCAGGAAATAAAGAGGCACTGCTTTTAAGCAGCAACACTAGCTCTCTGAACAACCTCCCAATGGAGATCAGACTGGCCCCCTCCCTGACTGAATTCAGGAAGATGCTGAAGATGGCACCGTTCCATAGAGCATACTAGTGAGGTTAAACCTTTTTATTATTGATTAATTGGATTTGATGGTTGATTTTGCTTTAATTGTTTCTCATTGTTATTTTAATTTTAATCGTGGATGTTTTAATTTTGTCTATATTATGTAAACTGCCAAGAATTTATTCTGATTGCAGTATATAAGTTAATAATACACTGATTTGCCTATGTGATGGAGAGTTTTAGGAGGCTGTAGGCCAAAAAGTATATGCTGAAATATTTGATCAATAAGAGAGAGAGGAAGAGAACCACCAGAAAGTAAGGACAATATATAAGAAGAAATGCTGCACTAAAAACTGCCTTGTAATATCTGAAAGGCTTTCTCCCTGGCAAAAGAGAAGTCTAGGTTTTTTTATTAGTTCCTTTCAGGATGCTTGAGAATTTCTTTTCAATTTCTCTTGGCAGTATTTTGAAGATTATTTTATTGATGGAAGTAATGGGGAACAGTAATGCATTACATGCATCTTTCCATCAATCTGAAACCTCCATGGCTACCACACTTCCCAGTCTGAAAAAGGCCAGCAGGAGGAGTTCCATCATAATGTCTTCCTTTGGATTTAATTGAAGTTTGGGAAGCTGGGGAGACTGCAGACTCCTGGAGACTCACGGTTCAGTGAAAGACAGAACATTCATCGCCATTTTGCGGCCATTGTGTGATTAAATAAATGCACAAACTCCACACACTACCCATATAACTTTCATTAAAATGCTTTTCTCAATAGAAAGCTACTGTATTTCAAAAGTAAACTCTCTTTCTTTCAACTGAGAATTGTTTTCCACAGTATTATTACAAACAAGGTTACATGGGATTGGCAGTTGATATCAAAAGCCAATTACACTCAAACCAAGCATTTGGACTGCTGATGGTATCATTCAGGTTCTAACTGTTTCTGTTCTGTGTGGACAGTTAGGGATGGAGAAGCAAACATATTCATGGTTATTAATGGAAATAATTGATTGTGGTTTTCCTTTCAGTGCACAGTGACATGTGGCCAAGGCTTGAGATATCGCGTAGTTCTGTGCATTGATCACCGAGGGATGCATACTGGTGGCTGCAGTCCTAAAACAAAACCTCACATCAAAGAAGAATGCATTGTCCCTACTCCATGCTACAAGCCAAAAGGTAAATTACCGTGCAACCTAATCCTGGCAAGCAATTATTTAAGATAAGTGCATTTTTCCCCAGTGGGAGGATGATTGCACGTTTGGGTTGTGTAGTTGAGAGCTAATGTCCTAGGCTTCATTTATTGAGCCAACACTGATTGTCATGCTTTGACAGAAACAGATTTCCTGGCAGGAACTCTAAGCCTATGTAATCACTCTGAACTCACATAGGCTCTACTTGTCTGTAATAGGGTATCTTTATGGAAGAAAGACAGAAGAAAAGGAGATGCTATTACCACAAAGGAAGTAAAAGTGCTAATATACTTTGGTAATAAAATTAGGGACAAATTATTCTTGACCAGATGTGGATCCACTGGTCAAGAGTTTAGCTAATAATATCCCCAGAATTAAATTCAGGCTCCAGTAAGCACTTCTCTCCTGAACTAATGCACGGACCTTTGGCTGAGAAGTATTGATCCATTAGCCACTATTTTGTTCTGCAAGTGAATTGCTAATTTCTGCCAAGTGCTGTGTGGAAAGGGGAAATAAGTTCTCGTGATAAATACCTTTCAGGAATTAGTGGTAGCATAAATATCAGGTTACCCCTTATTGTAGCCCTGTGTGATGAGAAAACTACAGTTGCTGTGCTTAGGGTTATTTGAAGAGCAGGATCCACCTTTGCAGTAGAGAGCGCAGCACCTTTTTTTTTTTTTTTTTGGTCCAGGTGTTGCATTTGGCTTGTGGGTGCTGTACTGGTGATCACTTCATAAAGTGCACTGACTGAATAGAAAGAAGTAAGCCAGGCTCAGATTGAAGCTGAATGTGACTCGAACTGATCTAAATTAAGTAAATACGCTTAGTATTATTCTCCACGTATTGAATAATTTTAAGCTTCTGTCACATTAAAGCATTTCAATTCAGTTACAAGTTTTGCAGGGTAGTTGGGGAGGCAGACCCTCTCTCCTGACTTGGTGCTCAGTTTGCGCATCTCTGCTTTAAGGGGCTAATTAGCTGCACAGAAATATCGTTTGCAATGTTCTGTAATTCTTTTAATCATAAAAGCCTCCATCCATATTGTATGTATGGCTACTGCTATAAAAACTATTAGTATTAGCACCAGCATTACTAAATCCTTTAATTCTTGCTTATGGAAACACTGTATCTATCCAAAACACTAAGTCAGTCAGTCATTTTATTGCAGTCATTGAACCAGCAAAACAAAAGAAAAGCTAAAAATAAAACAAGCTATAAAATCATATAACAATACAAGTAAAATTATAAGTTAAAGTTTAAGAATTTGGGGCATAAAAATTAATATAAGGTATGATACAATTTTTATATATATATAAAATATACAAAATATTAACATTGACTGCAGTTTTCTTGTTAAAAGGTCCTTCTGAGCCTGTAGAGAAGGGCTTCCCCATGTTCATTTCTATTGTTTAAGTAATAACTATATGAACTTCATACAAATAATACAGTATTCTAGAAATTAAAGTAAAATCAGTTAAAATGTACAAAATAGAACAGGAAATTGTCCCTACAAGACATCTTTTTTAATCTGAATTCAATGGGGAGGGATGTATTGACATAAATTGCTTCTTGCATCTTTTATTTAACAAACAATTTAGTTTTGTTTAACGAATAGGAAATTGTGTGTTAGTAAGGCTGACAGTGGTAGAGGCTTTGTCAGCCTTGTACAGGTTTTTAGTACACACCAATTAACTGGTAAGCACAGGACTTCAAATTCTATCTCCAAAAAGTGCTTTGGAGCACATGGGAATGCAAATATAGCACCTGTCTGCAACACCTAAAGTGGCTACGTCTTTTAGTGGGATCACATGAGAAAGCAGTATAAGATGTCAGCACTGGTTTATTTGTGTCCTACATATAACATGACAATCCATCTGCAATGGAAATCAAGAATATTCCCTCAAACAACATTGCGGATTCTAGGACTACCTCTCTGTTTCCATAGGGAACTTGTGATAAGACAGCACCGGTTTATTTAATTACAAGCCCAATCATCCCTAGTTAACATTCTGAAATGTATTCTCATTTTTTGTGAGGAAGTAATCATGACTGAAGTAAAGCTAACAGTGTTGGTGTTACATATCCAGAAGTGAATGACAAAGATGGTAAGAGCCTTGAATTGTCCAGAAATTTCAAATTAGTTTCTGGGCAAGCTGGTATCCACATCAAACATTTTGAATAATTCAAAACATTTTTAATTTGATGGTGGAACAGACTTTCTGAGAAGGTTATGCAGTAGCTCCTAGAAGCTTTTGATCTAAAGCCTGATTTCTAGATATCAAAAATGTTGATGCAGCAGATCCCTGCATTATCAGAAGGTTAGCTCATAACCTTTTGGGCCTCCTCCAACTCCATGATTCCAACAGTTATGGAGGCTCTTACATTTGACACTCCCAGATCCCAGCTTGTCTGCTTCTATGGAACAATGTCTGGTTCGTAGTTATGGCTATATCCATATTTGTAAAATGTTTTTTCCATGAATTCCTCTTGGTGGTTATATTTTGACTGAGCAAAGACTTTTTATGTTTTACAGGGAATTTACTAACATGAAAATTTATGATTGATTTTATTTTTTTAGCCCCATTATTGCTTCTTACCTACATTTTGAAAACTTTACCTGGATATTAGGTAGAAGTGATTAAAAGGGAATATTAAGAATATTAACCATTTTAATAGTTCACAAATGTACTTCCTGAATCTATTCTGTCTTTAAAACTAGGCAAAATCATTTAACTATTCAATATCCAGTTTTAATACTGTCAGTTTATAAGCAGAATAAAATATAAGCTCTCCTCTCTGCAGGCCCTCACCATTCCCAATATTTATACTATACATCTGGTATTTTACAAGCATCACATGGCAGGAAGGCACCATTTTTTTTTTAAAGAAAGCTGTATAATGTTTTTACAGGATAAAAAAAAGCAAGGGCTGTATTCCATTACCATAAAAATAAATATAATAGTATATAAACAGAAATAATTCTCTATATATTTTAGTTAATGAACTTGATCAAATATAAGTTACGCTAAAAGCTATATTGCCACACATATATGTCATCAGATAATACCACTAAATATATTTAAGTAGAAATCTGACAAGCAGTTTTTGAGAATCAGTTTATAATTACTCTATTACTTCTCTCATTCTCCTGCCTGTAAACTTGGTACAGAAGAAATTAATCAAAAAGAATCTGAAATAGGATTACAGCTGATAGCCATTATACATTGCCAGAATTGCAGTTGGTAGTTCAAGGAATTGAAAAGATTGTACAAAAAGATAGGTATTTAGAATATATATGAATTCTTGCTTCCTATTAATTTCCTTTTCTAATATTCACTTTCTGTGTCGGGGGGGGAGGGGGACACCTAAATAAGAATAAATAGGTTGGCTACTTCCATACGGTAAATGTACATTTCTACAACAGATCTATCCTGCATATAAAGTATCCAATTTTATATATGTATTTGTTTATTTATTGCATCCTTGATCAATCACCCCAATTCAAGCACTGAAGCAAGGATAGAGAAACTCTGTCCCAAGGGCCTAACCAGGCCTTAACGGTTGACTAGTCTGACCATGGCACCTCAAGCAAGAATTCTCTGCCTCACCCAAAGTCCCATCTCTCCTCTAACTCCACCATCTCCTGTTGCTCAACTGGGCTTCTGCTAACAAACGTTCCTATAACGCTCTGCCTTTCTCCCTCAAAAGAGAAATATAAGCCATACAAGAAGCATGCCACTCCTCTGTTCCCCAGTAGGAATCTTGCTGTGTGGATCCAGTTTGCTTAGCACGTATCCTCCACATTCTCCTGTGTAGAGGAGAAGTTGGGAAACTATAGTTCCCTGTGTCCTTTTCATGAACAAAAGGGTGATGCTAAGAAGCAGGCTTAAATGATGTAACAGAGTGGTCTGATGTTGTCTTGCTCATTGAAGTGTGAGTCTAGCCCTTCAACCAAATTCAGTTCCCCAATCCTGCACTAAAGAGAAGTATGCCTTCATGCAAGTCTAAGATTGATGATTTTCACTTCAGACTGTTTTCTGTCATGTATTTAATTTCACTTTGAAAGAGCCTACATGGCAGATTTGAGGGGGGGAAGGAATGTTCAGAAGTGTCTCAGGATGCATGTCATTTTCTGCATGGACTCAAAGCTCCAATTCCAATCCTAAGGATCCATTAGTCAGTGTCAATTAAATGTATTGGGTCCTCTAATAAATTAGTGCAGCTACATTTAATCCTTAAATCAGTCTTGACAGGAAAGTTATTGTTTGAGTAGTTTAAAAGAAGAGGGTCCCATGAAAGATTTTGGTGGTTTAGTAAAGTCAAAGGAGAAAACATAAGTGCATAATAAAATATTTACAGCATGGTATTGTCAGAGGCTTTACAAATAGTACAATAACCCATCAGCCCCCTGAATTCAGGTGATTTCATGTTCCTTTAGATTGTGATTGTCAGTTTGCTATGGGTTGATTTTCGTACCTTTTTCCTTTGACCTTCAAGGGCCAGTGCAGCTCTATAGCTGAATTCAGATTTATGTTCCTATGAGAACATAATTTGGCTCCTCAACTGAGTATTTTGTCAGATACTTTTAATGCATTTCTCTGATACTGATCTTGGAGGGGAAAGATACAGAACAGCACTGTTGTATCTCAAAAATGACAGTAAAACTACTCAGCTTAGTCTTTGAATCCACAATGCTGATGAACTGATAAGCTCTGACTAGAAGGGCATCACTGAACAATTTTAGTTTTCTGTTTGTTGAACCATCACTCATCACATCTGCATTTTCTTCTATTTCATAATAAGCTATCAAAGTGGAATATAGCAGAACTCTTTTTATAAACTGTAAAAGTTATTGCCATTTTTTTTCACCCTCGACCAAGCAGTGCTGAGCTACATAGGCCTACTAACTTGGGATCGCTTTGTATGTTTCAAAGAAAAGTATACTTGTGTACTTCCCATCACTAGTAATAATCGTCTTCCCTGTTCTGGAGGTTTCCAGATATATTGAACCAATATTAAAAGAGAAAACCTGCATCTTTCATACTGGGAAGTATACGGGCAATGTGAAGCCCGTAAATTTCTTTGATAGAACTGTGCCAAACATGAAGAGACCACAGAATAAGCCAAGACTGGAACATATATTTTGGCTCACATGCAACCCCTATGCTTTTCCTTTTGCACAATCAAATAAATTAGGCAGTTTTGAATTAAGTATAGTATCCATCTTCTAAAGCAGGAAATCTACAATTAACTATAATTTGCCTATGTTTTGAAGTTGGTTTAACATCTTGACCTTTTCTAAAATTATTAACCATACTTTTCTGATTTAGATGAAATAGGAAACTACAGTTAATTGAAGAAGTGCTTGTTTTCCTGTATCCCTTGTAGAAGGAGAGCAGAGGGCAGTATGCATAGCCAGAAGGCTCATTTGTTAAATGCATAGGCAGAAGGCTCATCTTATTAAATTTAGATATGGTTGTGTGAAATAACATTTCAGGAAGCTTTATACTATGCAAGCATTTTCTGTGAACACTAATGATTGGATTGGCAGATACTCAGCAAATATGGAATAGAAGCAACATAATTCCCCTTTAGATAAATTACAAAAGTGGATTAAGTTTTTCAGAAGTACATTATTTTTGCATGTTTCCTATTTCCTTATTATTATTTTCCTAGAGAAACTTCCTATTGAAGCTAAACTGCCATGGTACAAGCAAGCCCAGGAGTTGGAAGAAGGAACAGTGGTATCTGAAGAACCAACGTAAGTCTTAAAACATAATTGGCTGGAATCATGACACTTGAGGATCCAAGCAGCACATTACAATTATTTATGATGTATGAATTACAATGTGAAATAGACTTACAGATACCTGGAGCTAAAGTATTCTTTATGGATTTCAAAATCCTGCCCAATTTGTATCATCCTTACTAATGCATATTGTCTATGAAGAATTAAATCACAATCAGTATGGTATAGTTTTGTGACTGGGTAGTTAATTCATGGAAATGTTATCTTTAGAGGTCTTTACTCTTGTAGCAGCTTTTTTCATTTATACCTAATGTACTTCTCCTAAATGTTGGTGTCTTCTTTTATTTTGGTTTAGTTGTTTGAATAGTACAAACTTCTCATGTGGCCATATGCTTTAAATTTCATGTTAGGTTTAAATCATTCATGTAACTTTAAAAAGTCTCTCTCTCATTTTGGCCTACTAAGAGCTGATTTAGATGTTACATTCAGCTGTGAGGAATTTCAGTCCTCAAGCATATAGTTGAGAAAAATTCAAGAACTGTATTGTGGGTTTTTCTGAGCTCATATAGTTCATCAGGTAGCCATCGTTCCTCCATTTCCAATGTTCAGTTGAAAGTCCCAACACTGGCACCAAACAGGGTGCCAACTGGGGAACTTTGGGGAACTTTATTTAGCAAAGCAGGAATCAGGGATTCTCAGGTCAGACCGAACATTATGTAAACATGAAGCAAACGTCTCCATGTCTCAAGGTCAAGAAAAGAACAACCAAAAGTCTACTGACTCGAAAGGACAAGTGGAAAAGGTCTAGGATAAAGTTTCAGGAGGGTGAATATCTACTGGTATGCCAGGTGAAATGTGGCAGCCAGATTTGAGGAGGACAAAAAACCTTTAAAGGAAAAGACTAAGGGAAAAATACCAGTTTTTTTCTGAAAAAGTTTAATAACTTTTTGAAGGTCTTCTTTTCATGGTATTTTGATGCAGTGTTGCAAGATCATGAAATTGGCATCAGTTCTTAAAGGAGCAACTCAGAAAAATCAGAAGCACAGAACTGCAAGCAGATAGGAATGACTATTGAATGTATTTTTAAGATCAATTTCTACCTTTCAACTCATATGTACATATGGATTTGATTCACTTTTCATTTTCTTCTAGAGGAAGACCTTAAGGATAATCAGAACACTACATTTCACTTTACAGAATGATGACATTTTAGATCTGGAATATATCTTTGTATATTATACTGCTCAGTGTTTACGCACACATCCAATCCTGACTCTTTCATGTATGCTTGATCTTCTACTGCACTATTGCAAGATTTCCTCTCATGCCAAAAAAGTTATTTCCAAAGGTACCTACAAAAAAACCCAGACTTTTTTCTACACAACTTGATCTACCATAAATTACAGAGTATTTCATTTCTCTATTATGGCATACTGACATTGCCACACCTAGAAAAGCGTTTCTTCATTAACTCATAATCATGCTTCATTGAAGTTGCACTACTCTCTCTCACACACACACACATATTACAGTGTTATGAATCATAATGAATCTAATCCCTACTCTTTGTATGCATATGGTTGCAATAATATGGAGAGGTAGACCAAGGGGAGTCAGTCAGTTAAGCCTTTCCAGGAGAAATTTCCGTTAGCTGGCAAAAGTCACCTTTGTGAGAATTCCTGTTGTTCAAAATCTCATCTCTGCTTTGGACAACTCTGAGATTCCTCAGAAAGCCAGGATCAGAAATGTTGCAGGAAGCAAGTTTTTCCTGACCATTACAGGTCATAACTGAGCCATCAGAGTTAAATGCATCGTATAATACACCTCATAAATCTGTCTGGGGCAGTTTTAAAACCAGTGAGGCTGTGAGTCCTATGACTATACTAGGAAATATTTCAGAATTTCTTTCCTCCAATTATTAGAAAACTTTTTTTTTCTCATCAGCAGTTGAAGTGTCACTAGGCTCTCTTGACTTAAAGGAATTTTTCCTCCTAGTTTCCATAAGAGCAATTATTTTGATCAGAGAATCTTCCGTTGTGCATAAATATTATCCTTTTCCTGCTCTTGAATTGACTTCAGAGGAGTGTGGGGCAGCAAGAAAGGTTTTATATAATAGAAAACTCTCACTGCATAAATGGTGGGGGGGGGGTGTCAGAGAAAAAGAAAAACTGTCAGAGGAAGTATGGTGTACATGGGGTGATACAAGATTTCACGGAGACTTTAGTTGGAAGTTGGGAGTGGGAAGAAAATATGTGATGGATTCTGAAATCAGAGAATCCACAATATTCTTCTTTTATTTAGAAACGTGGAGGTTACCTTGTCCAAAATTCAACCGAAAACACCATATCATCTGTTTTAAAATGGTTGCCCAGCCTCTCTCTCTATACTTCCAGTGAAGAAGAACCTTGCCTCCTGGGGCCATCTCCTTCCACCTTCAAAAAGCTCTTGCCATGGGCATCTGTAGGATCAGGAAAAGAGGGCAAACGACAATACATACATGGTGATGTCATCCTGCAAATGCCACAACTTATATACTTGTGTCAGATGCTGTGATGCAAGTACATAATTGCAATGTGTGCATTATGATGTCACCACAGTTACACTGACTCTTGCAATTAAGAAATTTCTCTTCATGTTTAGCCAAAACCTGCTTTTTTACCAGCTGTCAAAGATACGTTTGTACACCATTTCATTTTAAAAATCTTTTTTCTAGCGTAATGAATTTTACTAAATGGACCCTGCTTGTGGAGATGTGCAGCCACTCACAGCATCCACACCTTCATTGGTTGGATATCACAAAAGTCATGTCTGGATGGTAGGTTTTGCTACCATGCATAGTAAGGAAAATCCTTTAAATTTGACATTATATTCCATGGCAGCCTCAATTGCCTGCCCAGCAAATTTTGTTTTCTGGTGCACACGCAGGCCCATGATGTATCTGGCTTTATCTGAAAGCAGAGGATAGACCATGGAGCTCTTGATTATGTCCCTTCACTACAATGTCTGAGGGGGAGTCAAAAAATCAAGATGGTGGCCACAACTGCATAATCAAAGCCACAGCCCTTTATCATGTGTGTGATGCCTGCAGAAGGGGGCAGGGCTTCGTTCTTGTACTTGCAGCTGCCCTCTTGACTATTTTTAAAATTATTTTTTAAAAGTGGAATACAAACAATTATAACTACAGAAAAAAGGCAGCAGTGGTTATACAGTGAGAAAAGAATCTGTGCACATTGGTGGTGATTAAATAGATTAAACATAATTAAAAAATGGGGGGTTAAAGAAAGAGGGATAAAGATCCATATAATAATGCATTGATTATCAAAATAGAATTAACTCAGTTCCTAAGCTTATCATTAAATCTAGATCATATGGAAACATATTGCTTGATCTTTTTAGGACATCATTTTAAAAAAAAAAATGGACAACACACATATTTCCTGAAACCATTCCTTACTATCAGGAGAATAACTTTCTTTACGTAGGATTATCCTCTTTGCTGAGTCCCAAGCTTTCAGAGCCCAAGCTCTTCATAAAATGACAAAAATCCATGTTTTAGGAATATTGTTTAACATTACATTTACCTGTTTAATTATTATATTTCTTTCATATGTGTTAACATATGCTGTAATTTGAAACCAAAACAAAGCTATGGCCAGACAAGACCAAATCATATGTGTTAAAGAGCTTTTACATTTCTTACAAATTAAGCACAAAAAAATCTTGATGTCCAACTTTTTAAATAATTCCTTAAAAGGTCCAATATGTTCAAATGAATTAATTTCATTCTTAAGTCATAAATATGCTTTACATTTCTTAAAATCTGGACCATCTGATTTTTTTAAATTGGATTTTCCAATTCCTCATTTCACAGTTCAGATATGTAGTTAATGCTAGCCTTTCTTATAAAGTTGAATTGTTGGTTTCGCTTCAAGTACTCCATCTCCGAAGGATTCTAGCATTGTAGATACTTCTAAGGCTGTTAAAGCATCTACTCGGTCAGTACATGTTTCAATTGTATATACTGAATATATTGCTATAGGTGAATTATACTTAGAATGCAATCTCTAGAAGTCTTTAAAACAACCATTATAAATTTTTTTGTAATAATTTTATTAAGAATTACATTATACAAATAAAACTAATACAAACTACAAAAGGTAAAAACTGCAAAAAAAATTTTTTTTTCTTCTGCACTTTTTTATTTTTCTAAAACAACCATTATGAATCATCTGGTTTCAGGTATCCCTTATTTGGCCCAGGCATTTCAACAGAAGATCTTCTTTGCTATCTTGAAGTTTGAGTTATTGCACGTTAATTCCTCAGGTGATTCTGGAATAAAACTTAACCACTTACCTATTAAGAACCAAAATATGTCTAGCAGCTTTCAAGGCTAGAAATAAAGATCCCTATTTAATCACTAAACTTGCCAAGTTTTGAAGTGGATTATGCACTTGCTCTCCAAAGAAGCCCCAAAAGCACAATAGTTGAAAACGTTCTAATCCTAGAAAAGTATAGATATTAAAATGGAAGTCCAGTGGTACAATAGAAAATTTGATAGGTAAAAGCTGCCATCATTGTAAGGCAACCTCAACTGGCCAAAAATAACGGGTTTGGACTGCCACAACCATTTCCTCATAAGTTTCTCTATCCATGGAAAATATCTGATAGGAATTAAATTTGATTGGTGTCAACTCCTAGTGACTATATAGAATTTCTCTCTTAAAATATATATTAAACTTGATGTAATATTAATTTTAATTACATTAATATTAACCCAAAGCCTCAATAGAAGTTTTCACCATGAAATTATATCTACTGAAATTGCATCTATATATTTAGACATATTTAATTCAATATATTGTGATACGTTTTGAGAAAAATATAAACTCAAGTATTTTATGGAGCCTGTACATATTGTAAATTCTAATTTCTAATAGGAATCTATAAATAGGAAATTCATGTCTTCTTAGAAAACGGTTCATAAATTCAATTTGAACTACATCAAAGGCCTT